CCCCAAAACCCCAAAACCCCAAAACCCCAAAACCCCAAATTTTATAACGATTATTGAAAATTTTAGTAGCTCAGGAAATATTGTCATGCTCCATGCTTAAGTTTTAAGCATATGTTAAAGCTACCAAAGGGTCTAAGAAATCCTCAACTTTTCTGGACTTTCTTTATGCATAATAAAAGATCATCCAGACTTCTTAGCAGGGTTTGAGATATTAGATCTAACCCCATTTCTGTTTTTCCTTCCTGACTATGAAATTATATTCTAAAGACTTACAAATGATCTGAAACCTTTTGAGGGAATATACTGGCTGGCAATGGCTGGTCTCTGCAGGAGATCAACTACGCTATATGTTCCAAAGCAAGGTTCATCATCATTCACGACTGTATTTTTCCGAGTCTTATGCATCTTCAATGGTTTTGGCTTCACTTTTCCTGCAGAATTCTGGATTGTGTTAAACTTTTGTTTGAACTCTTGAATGTCCTGGTTTAAAGCCTTTGTATTTCTTCCAGAGTTCCTTCGCCTATCATTCCTAGCCTTTAAGACTTTCTTTTGAGTATCAGAAATAATTTTCTCTTTAATTGGCTTAAATTTTTGGAAGATTTTTATACGGCTCGATTTTGTTGTTCAGCATTGAGATGGATTTCTTTCTATCCTCAATATCACTAATCTTCTCAATGCTTGCTTCACTGATTTTCTTCCCTATACTTTGAACAGTGCTGCAGTAAACTAAGCTCTTCACTGCAGATTTGTTCTGTTTCCGTTGCTCAATGCTCAAGGTACTCTAGAATGTAACAGATATAAACTAAAAATGATCAAGGTTACCTTGTCAATATCTTGATTATTCATTGCATTTGTCTTTTGATCAATCATCATACTATTTTTAGTCTTATAGTCTAGGTTAGAATCCCTCCTGCCATCTTTAGAGATATCAAGAGTCTGGTACTCTTTAGACCTCCTTAGTTGTGAAAGAGCGCATTCGATCAGAGGTCCATTCCTTCTAATATTATTTAGTCTTATACGAATTCTTGACCAATGGATTTTGAGCAGCTTGGGCAGGAATCTGAACACTCTGGTTAACATTCCGCTCCTTTATTTTAAGCTGTTGTCTTGAAACCTTTCTGGCGATCTTCTCGATCTTGCTCATGTTTTTCCTCATCTTGCTATACCGCTTATTCTTCCTCAACTTCAGCTTGAGACTATCAGAGTTTTCACTGGAATCAGATAATTTCTCAGATTTCTGTGATTTTTCAATATTCAAGATTGGTTTCTCCATACAGACGGATATCATAGTTGGGATTTTGAGTACAATTTTCTGCTTAGATTGCGACTTGACAAGCTTGTTTCTCCTTGCAGACTTTTTCTTAACTTTTGGCTTGACATTCTCTTCGTAACAATGTGTGGCGACGTTGAATTTAAGTAGAGCATTTTTGAAAACCTTTTGGTTTTCGAAGAACATATCTGCAAAGCTCTGTGCAACTTTATTTCTGATTTCTAGAGAGATCTTAGGCGTAAAATAGGTGAAAAAATAGGGGCTTACTATTTTTGTAACTACTCTGCTTCTTTTCAAGGTCGAAGTACTCTGAGTATTTGTTGATTATAGGGATTTTATTTGCCTTCTAGGGAATTTTGAGAGGAATAGTTCCCAATACTACTTTTACTCCGATGGCTCCTCCTGGAATGAGGCTTGTACATACGCTCAGTGGTCTTCCGGCTACTGCTCAGGCTGCTCTGGTGGTCATTTCAGAAAGGTCCCTTGAACAATTTCATTTGAGCAACTTTCTGTAATTTGATCTTTTGGGTTGCTTTGGTTTGTTTGGAGTTAGATCTAACGAAGTCATAACACTTCCGCTTGTTGAACTACAGGGTTATGGTAGATATACCTTTATTGGAGAGAAACGCTTGCCTCCATTGCGTTTAAATTTATCAGGATTCTCTCCAAATGTATCAGTAATATTCTTATTTGGGCTGTAGATCGAGCTATCTCCTGAGCTGTAGGCATTTCAATTGGTAGATGTGCTTTGGAACGTTGAAGAGCCAGGATCGGCAAAACTTGATGGATTTGGAGGCGGAGGTTGGTGTCAATTGCTGCCATAGACATTATCGAAGGCTTCGTCTTTTGTACTCTGTTTTCGTCTATTTATGTCTTGGTTTTGAGAGTGAGTTGGGCTTTTTATGTGCAAGACTAGGCACTCTTCTATAACTCTTCCTTCTATTCCTATACAAAACCTTCAAACCCATCCTTACCTCATAAATAATAATTTAAATAGGTTTTGGTTAATTGGGGTTTTGGGGTTTTGGGGTTTTGGGGTTTTGGGGTTTTGGGG